ATTTATTAAGAAAATTTGAATTTCCTTGGGATATGATTGTTATTATGCCTTGATCATGAAACTGTTTCTTGTTGGAATTTTCGTACTTTATAATATACTTGAACAACATTACTGCCTGCAGCCTTCAAAGGATAGCTGTGAACTTTGTTAAATTACTTTTATTATTTACTGACGAGTTTCGAACCCGTGCCGATGTCGCATTAAATATCAAACTTCTAAACCAATCAGCTACCAAGCAATTTCAGCTCACTGATTCAACTTGAAATGATTTCCAATTTGATGAAATCAAGGTCATGTGCTGTTATTAATTGGATGAGCATTTATCAAAATATTCAACAGCACAAAATCACATCACTGAACATTTCAAATCCAGATTTCTAAACCCAAAAAGAAATAAAAATTTCTACAAAGTCACCGCAACAGTTCTATCCAGATGCACACATAAGAAAGCTTTCCAAGAAAAAGGAAGCATGAAAGTGAATTTCGGGTTAAAATTCTTCTATTCTGTATTTTAAATTGCCAAAAATTATGTGCTTTAATGCTTCAAGCATCGAGCATTCTATTCAAAAAATGAAATTTATGAGAGTTGGTGAAACTTTTTCTCATTTAATGTGAAATAATTTATGAAATATCTGTCATGAGCATTCGTGTAAGTTGAAAAAATTTGTGAGTTGAAGAGAGGAAAATAGAATTTTTAGATGATGATGATAAGAAACTTTCAATTAACTTAATGGCTTTTGACATTTTACAAGATGAAAAAATTTGCGTCATAAATTACTATTTTGGAAGTGTGAATGACGACAAGAAGGCATTTGGATGATTGATTTTCGGTTTTTGAGGGGACTGAACTTTGTCTTTATCCTGAAAAAACAAAAATTGTGAATTTTTCATGAAGCTATGAAGTGGAAAAATACAGACTAGACAGCTTAGAGGATGCCTTTAGGTAGTCATAATGTTTCTATATTGTCTGGGGAATTGATCTGATAGGGATAAAGCAATAAGAAGGATAATAGCTATGAAAATGGACATCATGTGTTTGCTTTTGTCCATTGCATCCATTTTTTTACATGAACAAATGTTTTCATCCACAAATATTGATTCACAATAAAAGCATGTCCCAAAAAATTCAGCATTAGATTATTTGCTTATTCAACAGCACATTAAAGCATCTGCTTTAAAAAATATCAACCAAAAAACAAGCTTAATACCGACACAGATTGACGTACATGAAATGAAAAATGACGAATCCAACAACAATAATGTCAGCTACAAGCATGAATACTTCAGAATAAACATTAGTATTTATTTCCATTATCGTTATCAGTTTTCATGAGAAATTTAATGTCGCAGAATTTCCAATGACTAAATCTGAATAAAAAAATACGTCTGAATTTAAATTTTTGATAAGCGACGAAGGAATATGGAAAGAAGATTTCAGGAGCGGAGCTGCATTACGGAGGGGACCATTATTCATGACTTAATATTCCTTAGACCTAAAAATCATATACAAAGACCATTAACACCCTCCTAGCTACACTCTTGGAAGAAATTATGTGCTGCAAACTTTTTTATGACTCTAATAAAAAAGCCATAAGCAGCAACATTTGTTTGGGAAAAAGAATCTATAGAAAATAATATATTTCAATTGACCTCCAGACGTTTGAGCAATATGCATATATAATAAATCAGGAAAGGAAAAACAGTTGATATTTGCGGATGTGAAATTTTTTTCATACGTTCTGCTTTATTTTCCTTTCTGATCATTTTCGAATAACCTTAGAAAAAAATGTAAAGCAGATCTATAGGCGGGATGGGCTACAGAATTTCAAATGAGCGGAATATCCTCAATAATGAATAAAATTCTTTCGATATGGCCAACAAAAACGTGATTGATTGATGGACTCACTTAATTGTGGGAAAATGCCATTCGATTTTTCTTTTCTGTGCTGAGTAAGAAATTTAATTTTAATCTTTGCCAATTCATCTTAATCCCATACCCACACTTACCGTATAATTAATTACGATTAATTCTCTTAGACTTGAACTTTGGCCTCCTTTTTATGGCTTTTTGAAACTAATTGGTTGGCATGTGGAAGAATTTTATGATGGGACTGAATGTTTTGGCGATAAGACTGTTGAATTCTCACAAAATAATTTCGAAATTAACATTTAGAGTCAGGGTTGGTTTCTGTGATATGGATGTTGTTTTGATCACGGTCAAATAGATCAATTGTGATCTACAGACTCTATGAAACATATTTTGTCAGTGATTTATCATAAATCTACCTGTACTTAGCTACAGTGGCATGTAAACAAGCTGTTAATTCCTTACATTCGCCTGTCTGTCATACCTAAACACCTAGTTAACAACCCTGCTGAGAATCAATAAAATTTAAATAAATAATCCATTTGAAGTGAAAATTGAAGTTTAAAACTCCTAAAAAGATTTAATTTTAATCCTCATCCCCAATAAAAGTTAATGATATTCACATAATAACTTTCCGTCCATCCCCTAAAATTTAATAAGTTGGATACGTATACACAATAAAGAATTGGAAGAAAATAGTCAGGAGATAAGAAGAAGCAATGGAATTTTTTTCTTGATATAATAAAAATAGATTTTCTTTGCTTCTATTGTGGGTTTTCACTTTTCCTACATTCTGCTTATTTTATAATGAAATGAAATGAAAAGGAAAGTTTTCCACATTTCACACATGTTTCGTCCTTTCGTAGACATTACATGGATAGAAATGAAGGCTAGAATTTATGTAATGGGTCGGCAAAAAGGAACCGAAGAAATAGAAAGTATAAAATTGGCTTTCATGAAAGGAAATCTTTAAGAAATCAAGAGTAGAGGTTCAGTTTTTAAGATCAGATGGGATGACAGGCGGAAGATGTCAAGGGCCGTGAGGTTTAAAATCTTGTGCAATTTATCTTTTGGGTGAATAGCCTTGTGTTTTTGAACTTTTTGGAGCTTCTTTAAATTTTTTTGAGGCTCTTTGTATTTCAGGACTAGATGACTAGTCAGTTGAAGTCAGTTAATTATTTAAGTTTGACTTTGAATTCAATTGACTTAAGTAATGTTGAATATGGTCGAGTCTGTGTCGCTCTCGCCATAATGAACCACTTATTCCTTACTGTAACAGCCATTCAGATCAATTGTGATCACTGACTGACTTATAAGATACTCGAAGTTGCCTGAAATCAACTTCAATCTCTGCTCACAAAAGGTTTCATTTGTTCACAATATAATTAAGCCTTTCACTTAATTTAATTTATCCTTAATCAAAACATTCAGATCTAATTTAATGAGCTCTGAAATTTCATCCATCTGCTCACTTCTCTTAAATGCTGATGCTTAAAATACATTCAAACCATTCAATCTTCCAACAAAAAAAAAAAAACTCTCATAAAACTCAACCACAACAAAGCTTCCGAGATCCCATTTTTTCCGGTCTCACCCACCCAGAACATCTAGTCTCTAAAGATACCAAACCAATGAAAGCAAGAATTTAATATAATCAAAAAGAGCCTTTTTGTGCTACATTTTTTTCCAAAAAAAAAAAAACAGAAATACAATCAAATGACACTTTAGGAATAAAGGAAAATAAGTGAAAAGGAAAATGAAAAGTGTCTCAAAGGAGAGGAAAACCTTAATCATGTTGTTTAGGCACGAAAAACATACGTATTTTGTACACTTATAAACTCATTGAATAGCAAGATAATTTCTACTTTTTCGACAATTTTCATGTGGGAAAATTTGTTGCTTGAAAAGAAGAAAAACTTTCATATTTGAAAATGATGAAGAGAAAAACACGAGTGAGAAAGAAAACTTTTTTCACATCACATATGTTTAAATGTTGAGAAATAGAAGCGATCAAGAAAAATATTTGATGTTTACATTTAAATGCCTTTTTAAAGACTTTCTATCGTCGCTTTTGCTGGAAACATTTATTTTTGCAATTTGTTTGAAGTTTTTCTGCTGTTTTTTCTTTTTGAAAATTTTTTTTTGTTTATATTCACACCGCTCAATAGAATTGTGACTTGCTTCAATAATTCGATTATAGTAAAGACGATTTTTCATGCCTGAAATGAACGATTTGGCAATTTGAATGGTTTCTCTGTCCAATTTGTAAATATTGAAGCTAATTGGGTATTTGTTGACTTTTTTGATTTCCTTTTCATTTTTAAGCTGATTTGCATTTTCTCCCAAGGGGCCATTCACTTATTACGTAACGCTTTTAGGGGGGAGGGGGGTCTAAGATTTTGTTACGGTTCAAACAAGGAAATTTTTTTTTTCATACAAATTTTGTTACGAGGGGGGGGGGGGGGGGTCTAAAAAGTCATTTTTTCACGTTACGTAATAAGTGAACAGCCCCCAAGTAATTTGCAGGCTGCACACAATTGTCTTGCTCTCGCGTCTTTCAAACAGTATAAATAACTAGATTTGCTGCTCGGGTCGAACATCAGACTTTCAACTACTTACTGACTGCTCAACTCGCATTTTCTTAATTGAATTTTTCATTCAGTTCTCAAAAACTTTCTGTGAAGATTCTCAAAAAATCTCGAAACTTCGTACCGTGCATAAAATTCAGCAATTTATTTCAAATCATTCAACTATTCAAAATCAAATAAAAAAGATAGAAGTTAAACAAGAAACAGGCACGTTCCACTCAAACCCAAATAGAAACGCATAAAAAGAATGAATCTACAAGTGCAGTAAACTTCAGCCTTGCCATTTCCTGTTGTTAAAAATGTACTTTTCGTGACCTAGTTTACTATTTTTATGGCAAATTAAAATTTATTGATAAAACTCGGAAAATATAAAAATAAAGTCAGGCGGTACTTTTTATGTTTCTTTGTATTTATAAGGCATGAATAATGCACTAAAAAGCTCTCAAAAAAGAGCAACAACAGAATATAAGCAAAAGTCGCTCAAAAATAAAATAAAGTCAAATAGGATCACAGCCTTTTGGATATAATTAAAATATAATATAAAATCAGACTTCATGATAGTTTAGAGAACTATCGTTGGAATTTATCATTTGTTGATAAAGTTCAGTATACTTTTGGACTAAACGTCCACCTTTTGTAAACAATACATCCAATGATCGGCGAGATGCTTCAGCAATTTCATTGTCATTTGACATTATGAGATTAAATATCAGATTAACAGCACGACAGTCGATAATTTCCAGCATTTGTTCTGGTGATCCAGCATTGATCAAATTGCGAATAGTCAGTATAGCTTCCTTAACTATTTTTTCATCATCATGGTGGAGATTATCAATAATTATTGCCAGTAGACCTGAATGATATACAGCTTGTGCCTGATCTTGAGTTCCGATTGTGATATTTGAAAGACACCATAAAGCTACACGACGCAGATTCCGATTTTGATGCATTAAAGCGAATCGCATGTTGTTGAGAATTCCATGATCCAAAATTACTTGTGTCTGTAAATCTGTTCCTGTTGCTATATTGCCCAAAAATCGCATTGCTGTGACTTGAAGCTTTTGACTGAAACTTGTTAACATCGGCATGACAATTGTTACAATATCCGTTTCAACCATTAATTGTATGTATTCATCTCCACAATCAGCTAAGAATGTTAATGCCCACAATGCATCAATTTTTGTTGGCGTATCACGTCTTGTAGCTAGTTCACACAATTTTGGGACTATATCTCGCACAATATCGACAGACAATTGACATTCACGACATCGGACAAGATTAACAAAAACCCAAACGAGGGTGCGCTGGAATGATGTGGATAAACCCTCACGAACATAAGATAACAATGGAACCAAAATGCCTTGCTGGATTATTAAATCGCGGTATTCATGACTATCACCAATTATGTTGCCTAAAGCCCATATGCATTGTTCTACAAGCTCGAAATTCGATGACGAAAGTAAATTAATCAGAATTGGAGTGACGTCAGCATTTACGACCTATCAGTGAAATGAAAAGGATGATTGATTTTACATTATTTTGTGGGATTGGTTGCTGATTGGATTGAATTTGGCTTATTTTGTTTGCTGATAAAATTTTTAAGCTGTCATAATCTTGTCAAATCCATTTGCTGATCAAGAGCTTATCTACTTAGAAGCTTAATGTATATTGTCATGAATCATGTAGTGGAGAGGAACTGCGACCAAGAACATTGTTTTATCAGTTCTGAAGTCACTTATGCTATCTAGTAAGGGGAGGGGATCAATACCCTAGCGAGACTAACTAGCGAATTGCTAGTCTTTCTATTCTACTACTTGCAATTTACTAGTTATTATTAAAACAACTTACTTTTAATAAATTACACTTGTAATTTACTACATTACATTATTTTCCTTTATCATCATCTTAAATGTTGATTATCTTTAAATTGAAATCACATTTTTTTTGTCACGTGTCATAAAAATAACGTTTGATTTTTATAAATAAGCATTTATGTAACTTTGTTTAATTTAAGTTTTATCTGCCCGAAAGGCCAATAAATATATTCAATTCAATTCAACTAGCAAATTACCATGTAAAATGTTTGATCAAATCTGCTTAAGTTCGAATTCTACGAAAAATCTAAATTTGGCATTTGCCATATACTTCACAAGAGCGCGCAGAAATCACCTTTATAAGCTCGATCCAAATTTGTATGTGACTTTCAATTAATTATTTATCTTCCTCAGGTTTGCGTGCGAGTCATGGGGGTTCATCAGTGTTCGACTTAATGAAAATAAGTCTTTTATTTTTTGCATAGTGTTGGTGTACTTTAATTTACTTTAACTAAGTACACACTAATACTTTTACAATAATTTACACAAATAAGAAAAATCAAAAAAACACGTGGAAATCAACGGTTATATTCATTTAAATTTTTTAAAAATTTGCTAGTAAATTACTAGTTAAATTGTAAGCGAATTGACTAGTCAATTAGCAATTGAAAATGCGGGTCTTTGGCGAAGATTTAAACTTGGATTTTGACTAGCAAATAGCAAATGGAAAGTTATCCAGTAAATTACTAGGAAATTACTAGTAAATTTCTGCTATATAGGGGTCTAAAGTAATGTTTTTCAATGATTAACTTACAATTTGTGTATGAACAGTTGATCCTGCTGCGATGTTTGTAAATATCCATGCTGCTTCAGTCTGGAGCTTTTCATTTCCATGACATACCAACAGATATTTCATGTAATGAATGAAATTGACGTCGTTCACGAGATTATCATCAACCTTACCTTCCAAGAATTTGCGAATATTTTGAATAGCCAAAACTGACTGCAATTGGAGGAAGAAGAAAGAAATTAATTAAAAGTTTTCTTTCGGATGAAAATTAATTTTCTTACCAATTTTTTTGGATTCATGCTGACCATCTCAACTGATTAATGTTTTGTATTGATTTTATTTGTTCTTGTTTGGATAAAATTGATATAAAATGTTTCACTTTAAATTAATTATAAAGATTAAGAAGCTTTCACGCTTAAGTATTAGAGTTAAAATAAAAATTTCGTTGCGTCAAAAATCCCCAAAGTTTATTGCGATGAAATTTTTTAAAATATTCAAAAAAGTAAGAAAAAAAGTCATCGATTTCAAAGTTTACTAAGGATGATAATTTATGTTTGGGCAAATTTAATGTAATTTATGGCATAAAAGAATCGAAAATAAGTAAGCATGACCACAATGCCTTCTAAATCATGAGCATTTGAATATAAATTTTGGGTAAGGCTCTATTGATATTTTTTTTTGTACTCAATTGGATGTTAATTTGGAATTTGTGACCTTATTTTGAGGATATACATGTCGAGTGGCTCTTTTCATCCTTTCCTGATTTTGCATGTCTACACAAAAAAAATCTCATGAATCTTTAAAGATCTTCACGTAACAAAATAATAAAATTTTACAACACAACTCTAATTAACGGTGTCAATATGTCCCAAGAAACGTGATCTTTGTGTCCGGAGCATTTCAGTTTGTACGATGGAAAGTGAAGAATTTGAGGATTTGTAAATAAACATGTGCGTACATTTTCCTCTCCTTTTTATTTGTTTATTCAATCGATTTGGCATCGTCGATGCGGGATCGTCGCAAAACATGATGTAAAAAAGCAGTTTACAACAGTAACTCTCGCTCTCGATGATTGCCAGGCCATCTGTTCAATGTGATGTACTTTACTCGAAAAAACGGGAGTAGCGAAAGAATGTGGGTCACATACATACATTTGGATATAAATCGCATTTAATGTTCATACAAAAAGTGGAGCTGAAAAGGGACGAAGTTTCTATTTATACTATTATTTCTGCTTTAGCTTAATAAATCACTTTAAAAATGCTTCCGGATCGTTAAATTTTCATTTTCTTCTCTGCTGTGCCTGCCTATTGCAATCTTTTCTCTTCTATCTTGAAAATTAATTTTCCTTGTTTGTTGCCAAAAAATTATAATATATACTTTATGCTTAGTGATGGAAGTGTAAAGTGCATTTGGAGAATAGAAGCCATAAATAACATTCTAAAATTTAAATTAAACCATTTGCTTGCGCGCGAGTTCATTCTTGTCTGTTTATGAATGACTCAGGGTTGGAGAAATGAGATGTTAATTTTAGGAATGCGAGGCAGAGGTTATGAGGGTTTAAAAAGCTTAAAATTAACGATTTGTGGTTCAAATGCTTAACTTTTAATGACTCAGAACTTTTTTTTGTTGAATTTTAGATTGTCGGTCATTAAACTCTTAAATGACAAAGTTCTATATCCTCAATCCTCTCAAGCATCTAATCAAAAGTTCAAATAACCTCTCAAACCCTGATCCCATCACCCTCAACTCTTTCAATATGAATAGAACAATTTTAGCATTAAAATATTCAAACCGATAACGAGATGTTATTGTAGATAAATTGAGTTTGTGTTTGTGTTGTTGCTAAACAAAAGAGCTTGTAAGGAAAAGTTTTATTCTACCTTTTTCACTTGATTAAATAAAACAAACTCATTCAGCTCCATCGTTACATATTCGAATGTTTACTCCTTCTGTTATTTATGCCATTTTATATGCTTTCTATAAAATGAATAAAAAACAGGGAACGAAGGAGTAGTTCATTCATGTGTATGTAATTAAATTTTCAATTTTTCTCATAAAGCAAGAAGCGGGAGCACATGAGAATGAGAAATCCAGTTTGAGTAAATTGAAAATGAAAATAAAAATGATAAGAATGGAGGAAGAGGAAGAGGATGGGTAAGGCAAGAAGTAATCAAAATAGTATGAAGTAAATATAGATGTAACATAATCTCATCTTGAGTATGGGAAACAACAAAAATATTAAGAATGCTGAGAAGCTATTTTAGTTGAGGCTAAAGCGCATTATTGAAGAAAAAAGAGTAAAATAAATGATATTTTATAAAGTTATTCTAAAATTTTGATCATTACGGTTTATGGGATTCGAACTCTTGACTTTATGACATTCATTAATAATTTATTTCTGTTCCTTATATTTTAATTTGATTTTTAACAAATCGCAAACTTAAACCCCTCTATCAAATGTATTAATATAAAAACCCTCAGACTAGTCTCAATCAATCCTTCAAACTCAAACAATTTAATAAAAATCAGCTATGACTAAATATAAAAAGTATGTAGGAAAGGAAAGTGAATATGTAGTCAAGTGGAATCAAAATTGAAATGTCTGAAGTTGATTGGATTATTGATAGGTTTAATCCTGTTATAGTGTACATAATATCTGTTTGCTCTACTCCACAATATTGAATGTAGTTAATGATCGCTTGTTATTCTTTCAATTTAAACATTTATGCTTGAATGTTTACATGCCAGGTATTAACAACAATCGTCATTTATGGTAGAAATAATTTCACACTCGACAAATATGGCTTCCTGTCAAGAGTTGGATGCTCTCTTTTTTCAGTTACATATCTATCTACATATCAATAAATTAAATGAAATTAAATCGTTTTCCAATTCATCGCATTGAGAATGAATTTCACTTTTTTTATTCATTTTTATTTTATTTATTTTAAAATAGACAAAACAAAAAGCAAACGGACTTGATTTATTTGCAAGATAAAAACAGAAATAGAGTAGAAACGAAGTTCGTCACTCTGCTACGAGTAAGACATAGAAAATAAATAGAAGGCTACTGAATTTTAAATTAGCAACAGAAATCTCTCTATTTTTTGTACACAATGATGAGAAAGCGCCTATAAATGAATGCTAATATTCAGTCGTCGTATTTTTCTCTCTTATTTGCAATTTTTGCTTTTGCTTTATTTAAGAACGCTTAATGGACAGCAAATATTTTTATTTTATTATTTTTAATTTAATTTTTCACTTCTATTGTCGCTTTGTTGCCAGACTTGACTAAAGTCAATGATTCATTTTAGAGTAAACATGCTTGTAGATGTTCTGGTTAGTGGTTTAAAATTTTACGGCGATCATTAAATCTATTTTGTTTGGGGGTAACATGGAAAGCAATTGTGGTAGGTGGGTGTGCTGGTCTGAAGTAGTCAATAAAATAAATTTTTACGGTCGCAAGAAATAAAAAAATAAATTGATTTTTTATTAAAAAAATCAATCATTGAATGCCTTAACAAAACTTTTGGTTTTTTTTTTTTGGGGTTTTGAACCTCTAAATTTGGGTTTTGTATCATGAAATTCATATAGTCGCAATTTTAAATTTCTCTATTATTTTGATTTTACTACAATTTCTGTAATATAAGTTGATGGTAAATTGTTGAAAGAAGTCAAGTTCAAGACTTAGTCTCTTATAACATCCTAAAAAACTCCAACAACTCAAAAAAGCTAGCTCATTCATTAAATTACTCACAATTCACATAAATTCAAAAATCACATAATTCTAAAAACATGGCCCATAAAGTTCTGACAAATTTCATATCCTCTATAATTTAGGAACATCATAAATACGATAAAAACTTTTATTTTAGCTATGACTAATCACAGAAAAAATTGTCGCTTTATTTTTAATTTTCACATCCAGTTGAGACTGAACTGAAAATTATGACATTAATATATAATGACGATAATAACAATAAAAAATATAATTTAGAGTGACACATCTCGCAAAGTACATAGTATGTTATGTGAAAGAGCCTATGCAAGCTTCACACATCTCCATCACTATAAAATACTTTCGTTCATTATCTTATCATTCTTGATTATAATTTATTTCATCATCAAATTACTTCATTCTTTACATTAATTTATCAAACAACGTTGTCGTCATGGCATCGTGCGGTGTTGCGATGACAATAGCTTGGCGTGTGAACAGCTTTTGCTTTGAACTTTTTTTTTTGAGAAGTTTCTAATTTTCTCATTCTTAATTTGATCAAAAGAGTGCTTTCGTAACAAGATTTATCTTTGTATGTGATTTGTTGGCAGTTCTGTGACAAAATTAAAGCCAAAATCTCATCCGAGCGATAAAAAAAAGTTTACAAAGTTAATTCTAAACGTCATCAGGAAAAAAAAAATTGGTTTTTTTGCTTGCTTATTCAAATAATGAGAATTTCGTATTCAGATGTGCTCATCCTTTCTTGTCAAAAGGTTAATTCTACAAAGCAGCTGAAGCTAATTTAACATGCGTTGTTTATCTTTTTTATTTATATTCATTGAGCTTCATCCCCTTTGACTTGTGTATAGGAGTGTAGCTAGGGTTGACATCAGTCATCTTAACAAGGACTTTGTGTCCAAGTAACAATCATATCATCTAAAAGCGTCTACCTTCACCCCTGTTACTACACATGCTTATAACATCCATATGAAGCAGATCTAAACACAGCAATGACAACTTCAACATAAAGCTTGAAAATTTACTGCTCCTGAATAATATATAAAGATGTTTTGCCTCTTGCGACTCACTGTCAATCTGCATTTGCTATTAAATAAGCTATTTCTCATTTTTCGCCTTTTTATTCTCATTCGCCAAGCAGAACAGCACTCAGCATCGCGAAACAAATGCAATGTGTTGAAAAATAAATAACAAATGGGAATGAGTTTCCAACTTTCATGATATAATCAAAATATTTGCATTTTGGGATATGAAAAAAAAAGATATTGTATCGATTGAGTGGTTTCTGACTACCGTCTGGATTATGTTCAATCATATAAATGAAATTAGAAACTACATTCAAATGTTTAGATTTGAATGGCGCATTTTCTTTACAAATTTGCTTTTAGAATAGCTTGAAGATATTTTGGCATACGAGTGGCTTGTGATGAGATATTTAAACTACAATAAGGTCATAAATTAAGTCACAATTTAGCTAATTTAAATCATTGTCGGCTAGTTTAATGAAAATAAATCGATTTCCATTGAATTTTATGATCGCATCTGCAAAGTCAATAATAATCAACTTTG